ATCCTAAACCACGTGTTCAATTATGGCTGAGCATTTCAATTGTATGATACTTTTCATGGAAATTTTTTGTTTTATAAAGACAAACCATTTTTTTCTTAAAATGTTTTGATTTTCATATGTACCCCATAGAATTTATGGTAACAACATTTAAATGCCAGCTTTTTATCTTGCTAGTAATATTTATATCCTTGAACATATATCCTTTTATAAATATTACTAGCAGGATAAAAAGGTGGCATTTAAACGTTGCTACTATAAATAAAGCTTTACATCTGATGCCTGACTTGAAGGGTCAGTGTTATGCAGCAGGTTGAGATGAATTATTTTTAAAAGAGAATAATAGCACTAGTAATTTTTCTCTTTAAAAAACATGAACTAACTTAATCACATATTAAGGACAATATCTAGATTAATTTAGTCCCCAAGTAGTGTCGATGGCTCTGCCAATATTCTTGTCCCTTTAGACAGAAATGCAAGTCAAAGGAGGCTCTTTGACCTCCTTCTGTCCTGTCAGTCACTGCACCGTAAGTCTGTCATACGGACTCACTTCAGCTCTGCCAGCATAGTCCTATCCGTGTCTATCTTAGCCTCATCTACTATAATGATTTTATAACACAAATTATAATTAGTGATGTTTCATTATCTCCAAATCCTGTGCAGATTTCATGAAATTTTATAAATTTAATAATTTTCTTCTTTTCTCTCATCCAATGATATTTCTCTTCTCCATTACTCCCGTGGTTGATTTGCTCTTTCATGCAGACTATTCTTGAACTTTCCTGAATGTTCCCTCTGCTTAGATAGATTCCAGTTTTGCACATCCATGATATACTTTCATCCTCCTCTTTCATTTTCTACCAAGCTCTTTGTTTTGCTTTTTTGTATTAAAAGTATCCTGGTCAAGATCTTATTTGCTAAACCCCATGTATTACAAATGTTCTCTACTCAAATACAAATCTAAAATAAACAAATTAGCACTGAATTGTACATTTCCTTTTACATGGTTCTTTTGCTGTTCCTGCATGTTGTATTATATCCTCAATTACTGAACCTTGTAACTTAAAAGCCGTAACTCCAGAACTGCCACACTCAAGCGTCTCATTTTCTATTTTTTATGAAGTATTTGTGTTGAGAGCTTTGCATAACGAACTCTTAAGCATATGGCCACTTTGCATTTGAAACAGATCATCTGATTAATTGTTCCAATATTGATATTGCTCTGTCTCAGAAAAAGACTCATGACACTTTATTTACTCAACTTTCAAAAGTATAAAGCTAGCCTTACGAAAAACAAAGTACAGTTGTCTCTCAGTAACTATAGGGAGTTGAATCCAAAACTTTCTAAAACCTTCAGATGCTCAAATACTCTATATAAAATAGTATAATCTTTGGTTATAGTCTGTAAATATCCTGCCATATGCTTTAATCATCTCTAGATTACTTTTAAAATAAAGTACAATGCAAATAACATGTAAATAGTATTTATTTTGATTTTACTATCCTTTATGGAATAATCTGTATGTGATCAACAAAAATGAAAATTTTCTTCCAAATATGTTTTAATCTAGTACAATGTAAGTGCTATGTAAATAGCAATTATTTTGATTGAAATATAATGTTGTGCAACAGTGACAAAAAAGCCCATTTATTTCAGTATAGATTCATTTTTTCCAAAATATTTCTGATTCGTGGATGGCTCCATCAAGGGATGGGGAAGCTGCAGAGAGAGCAGGCACTGACCGTAAGATATTTCAAAGTTAATTTTCTTAGCTGGCAAAGCTTTGCAGACTGATTAAAGGATGCAGTTAGGTAATCACAAGAACAACTAGTAAAGGCAATGGAGGCCAAAACCGAACGGCATGGGGAGAAGAGAAGGAAAAGCAATCAGGTTAAAATAAACACGTATTCACTACCTTGACAATATAGTAATAGGTAATAAATTTATTAAGAAAACTCAAATAAAACACACTGCCCAACAATGATTAACAATGATTAACAATGATTAACTGCTGTTAATATTCCAATTCACTAGCAGACAATAGCAGGAATTAAAGGGTACTCAAGCTGGCCTGTCAGACCTCCTCCTCCTAATGATGTGGCTTCTTTAGGGGACTCTCGCAAAGAACTCAAGGGTGAGGGCTAACTCATGGTGCCTTGTGACAAAGAGGAGAATCCTGACTGGTGTTTAAGTTCTACGGAAATGCTTTTACCATGTATAAATTCATCTCATTTTAGATCAGTAAGGTAGGTGATGGTGCTAATTTTCAGGCTTTGAAAACAGACTCAAAGTTTTATGTCACCTAAACAAAGTCAAATCTTTTTGGAAAGGAGCAATAAAAATTTACGCCATATTTTGTCAGCTTCCAAAGTTCATACATATGGCTCCAGCTGACCTCCATCTGGTCTTAACAGGTAAACAGATTAGACATAAAGTGTCCCTTCAAACACATTAACCAAAAGCACAAGTAGGAATTTTCCAAATAATTAAAATAAAATTTCACCATTCTTGGGGATTATTTCCAGTATACCACACTTGATAACATCTTTCTGTTTCTATGTAATTACTGGAGTTCACTCTAATTATCTACTCATTCCTTTGAAAATAAATAAACTAGTAACATTACATATTTATTGAAAATAATTATATCTGACTTTATTGAAACTTACAGTCTAAGAGAAAACAATAAAAACAAGTGCATAAATAAGCATAACTGTAAAATATTTAATTTTTAAAAGTTACATGATGCAAAAGAATAGGATGTATTCAGTAAACTGAAGAAATACTATTTTAAGTGGGAAAAGAAATTTCATGCTAAAAATTTTATTTTTTATTTAATTGCTATAAGAAAGCAATGTAAGGATTTTTGCAAAATAAGATAATAAGATCTAATTCTTATTTTTTAAAAAAACTACTCAGTCTTAGCTTTCAGTCATTATGACAAATACCTAAAAAAATCAGCTTTATTTAAGATTTATGTTTTGGCTCATGGAAAGTTAAAACATCATAATGGAAAGCTACGGTAGACAAAAGCTACTCACTCATGTAAATGAAGAGAGAGAGACGGGAAAGAGGAACAGAGAGAAGGAAAAGATAGAGGGACAAAGGAAGAGAAACAGGACAGAGACGCAGTGGGGAGAAAGAGAGACAAAGAGCACAGGGGGGCGAGCGGAAAAGGAGGAAGGTGTGATGGAGGAGATACTAGAGAAAAAAAGCAGAGAAGGAAAGTAAGAGGGAGTGGGAAAAGAAAAGGAAGAAAGGAAAGAGAAATGAAGAACGGGAGAGGCAGAGGGACAGGGACAGGGAGAGAGAGAGAGAGAGAGAGAGAGAGAGAGAGAGACAGGCAGACGGAGAGGAGAGGAAGAGGAGAGACAGGAAGGTCCATGGAGAAGACATGGTCCCCAAGGAAAGGCCCCTGTGATCCACTGTCTTCAACGAAGCCCGACTCCTAAATTGTCTTAATTACCTAACAATGTCATCAAATATGAATCCATCAATGGATTAATCCCCTAATTACATAGAAACCTCATGATTCAGTAATCTTTCAAAAGTCGGAAGCATGAAGACTGTTATATTAGAGAACAAACCTTTAACATGAGAGACATTTCAGGGATATTTTAGATCTGAACTGTCAAACTCAGGCTCCGGAGGACGCACCGAGAAAACCATTTATAGAACTACAGAGGGATGATAGTCAGGAATCTCAGTGTCCTGGAAGGAAGAATTGTTCTACCAAGGGAAAAGTGACGCTGGAGAGACTTTGGTGTATCTCTAGACATATTTGGAAAGGAAAATTTCCAGACAGTGGTAAATTTTACACAGATGGTATTCAGAGTAGGGTGATTTTGATTTCAGCCAAGCTGAATATGGAGGCACCATTTAGTAAAAAAAAGAAGGCTGACATATTACAATTTTGGATGAAAGAATCAATAGCCAGAAATTAAATATTAGGCATGTACAGCCTTCAGGTATCTAGTTGCAGATTTTGTATAAGTCTCTGAATATATTAGTTAGAAGCTGTAATGCAAAGTATATGGAAAACTATCCATTTATGCCTGGCGGCTAATGTGACAGGATTGGGGAAATTGCTGAAGTAAAGAGTAAAGTATGAACAAGGAGAAATAGAACAAAGAGACAGATGGGGACAAGAAAACTTTATTAAACTTTATTCATCAACTCGCTTAAATACCGATGAGAAATACAAAAAAATAATTGGAAATACAAAAAGAAAATTGGGTTACAAATGAAACTAAAAAAATTCATTTTAGTAGGTAAGAAAGGAACAGATTTTATAGTAATCATATTGTGAAGCTGAATTGAGAAGGAGTAGAGACCGGGCAGGAAGAGTGATATATAACTATGGTTTGATTTAATAAATATTTTGTTATCTATTTATAAAATGATGGGATGGATTCCATAGTATAATTAATAACTAATATCTGGAGTTTGTG